TGTTAATCTTATTAAATTCTTTGTAAAGTGTTTTATGGGAGTTATCTGTACAGCCTTGATAATAAAACAGCCAATTCTTTGATTTGTAGTACGCAATTGATCGATGTTTATACATGATACTTCTCATTGTTTCTTTGTATTTTAAACACAATAATGTTGTAGCACTAAGATGTGGCATGAAGCACGCCGTCAAGAGAAACTGATGCGAGCGCGCATCGTTGACTGTTCTAAAAGGGCTGAAAAACGACGAAGATTTTATGATAGTGTGGTAAGTTTTGCTTTGAGTTGGATGGTCAGCTAAGGCCAAGTCAGGGGAAATTACTATCCTTGAATTATTCCAGCCAACTTTGAATTTAGGCTTAGTTTCGTTAAAAATTTGATAGCGTGTAATCTTTGTAAGTCCTTTTCCTCTCCTTTCTCCATGGTCGTGGAGACGTCTTCCAACAGAAAATCCGGGAAAAAAATTCATTCTTTTATTTCCCTTTAATGATTCGTTTTTATGCAGGCGCCAAGGAAGTTAGAAAAGTTGGAACATTCATAATTGGTCTTTTCTCACGACTTAATTTTTTATCGTTAGTAAAATCATCGCTCTCTTCTAGACAAATGCTTGTTTATACATACTCCATTTCTTCATCCGGAAGTCAGGGTGCATTCATGACGATGACTTTTGTACTTTATTTACAGAGAAAAGATCCGGATCAGTTTATGCAAATTCATGGTCGCAAATGTACAATACACACTGACAAAAGCATTGCGCGGGCGGCTGAAGACGTCAATATTTTGTTAGTGCATATATATGTTGTAGTCTTTGGTTACTTGTAATGGCTGTTTTTCAAATCTCAGGCGAAAATGGCAAGGTGATCCATCGATAATGATAGATCGTTTTGATGTACGGTCTCATCTGGATTATATTGCCCCGGTAAAGAAGAAGGGTGTCGAACCTCCCGATACGTGAGCTGCTTAAATTTTAAAAAAATCTTCGATCGTGACCGCAACTCTCTTTAGTGAAGACGAGAAACAAGAAATTGTGTGCGACTTTGAACGTTATCGGATTTTGGTAATCAACGACTTTCGTGATATCTCGGAAAAGGTACTATAGTTCATGTTATGTAGGATTGGTATCACACGATCTGGATGCTTGCCAACAGTTTTGAGGATTAGAAAAACTTGAATTTTTTTTTGCAATTTTTTACTGTTCGTGATTTCTTTGGCTTTATATACTTTCACTCTGCTTCATTTGTTCGCGTTTATGTGGTGAAAGAGTGCCACTAAGTTTTGGTTTGATATCATTATTAATCCTGCATTCTTTGCTGCAAATTTTCAGAACTTCGGTGGTATGTGATATATATATATATATATATATATATATATATATATATATATATATATATATATATAGTTTTATGCATAAGTAAGAAGAATACTCGACAAGTGGCAGATGGCTTAATGCGCTTTTAACTTCTATTATATTTGAATTTTTTGAAGACTCACTTAACACTGTTGTCATTTCTTATCACTTTATTATATTCGATAAATTCTGCCGAGATTCCAAGCATTATTTACAAGTTATCCTCTGAGATTGTCCGCAAGTACGAACACACGACGCGCGCTGGTCGCTGCCTTTGGCTAACGCTGCTTAGCGTTATCAACTCAAAAAGGTGCGTCGAAGGCAGCGACTAGCCTGCGTGTTCGCGCTGCTATGGCCAACACCGCATTTTTGCGTTGTTATTGGAAGGTCGGTGCCAGTAGGAAAGACTATGAATGTGCCAGTAGAAAAGATTATGATTAAGCGTCTTGTAGTCAAATCCAGAGCTTCAAAAGTTACTGAAAATCGTAGTCCAATGCAAGTAGTAGAGTGCAATATTCCGTGGTTCTTACTTTGCGTTGATGAGAATCTGAGCAAAAAAAAAACAAAAAAAAGCATTGATCTTGTTAATTTTTGATTTTTTATCGGTTCGAAATGTAATTTTGTGATTCATCAAATTTTCCCATTTTTTCACCCTGGGGCATTTAATGCAGGGGT